AATTTTTGCCAAAAACTTTCCTAGTTTACCCTCATTTAATTATCAACAGTAAATTATTATTGGAAGTAGATAGGAAATAAGGGTATATTAGTAAACGAACAAAACAAAACATTCTTACTAAAAAAAATAAGACTATATAATTGAGATAAGAAAATAAGGAAAGTGAGCCTATATAAATTGGACGGAGAGAGTAGAATAATAAAAGAAGTTGATATAGAACAAAACTCCTAGAATGATTTTGCAAGTGAGGTAGAGAGGAAAAGGGTAGACACCAATCCTAAAACCATTAACATCGAATGTAGAAACAAAAACTTCATTCACCAATCGGGACAGAGAGAATTGGTAATTCCAAATTATTTATTTCTTTTTCCATTAATGGTTCACACTGGTAACAATTAAAATGGGACCCTTCACTTCCTTTTCGGGTTGTACCGACTGAAACTTCAAATTACCCGTGTAAGTTTAACAATAAAAAAAGCCTAAATTATTTTCCTCTGCATTCAAGATTCTCTCTGCCTAAACCCAGGAAAATCGAAAGAACTAAAAGCGAGAAACTTGAAAAAAAAAATGGATGCAGAAACCCAACAAAAAGTCGAGGAAACGGTGTTGGAAATTTTGAGCAATTCAAATATGGAAGAGACGACGGAGTACAAGATCCGGAAGTCCGCATCCGAGAAGCTGCAAATGAATCTGTCCGACCCGACTTGGAAGAAGTTCGTTAGGCAGGTAGTGGAGTCGTACCTTCAAGAACAACAGGCTAAAGCAGAACAACAGGAGGAAAAGGAGGAGGAGGAGGAAGAAGAAGAGGAGGAGGGAAATAATAAAAAAAGAGGCGGAAAAGAGTATGATGATGAGGGTGGCTTGATTATTTGCCGAGTGAGTTTTATTATATATTAATTTTGAAACTAATTTTAATTCGGTGTTCGATTCTGTGTATATTATTGATTGAATAAGCTTGTTTGTTACACGAGAAATGCTACTTATTTGCTAAGAATTTGTTGCACTTTTATGTGATTTTTATATTTTTATTTATTTGTCGATGATTAATTCTGGTCATTTACTGACTTATATTGAGGTAGTTTAATCTTTGGGTTTGGGTTTCTCATTTCTGGGTTGTGGTCAATTGTGCAGAGTTCACAGCTTTTTTCTGTAGAAACTATGAGGACAAAGGAATATATTTTCCGTTTCTGAGTTCAGTTTTGAATCTTGATTGAATTCGGTACAAACAAATAAAGGGTGGGGTTACAATGAACGCACTGAATTTAAAGTTCCAGGTTTTGTTAGGGATTAAATTTGTTCAGTCTCTGGATTATGTTTTATTGGATTTTTAATCTAATTGACAAATTCACAACTTCATTTATCTGCACGGAACTAAAGGCTTGCCATTGAAATTGGATATGCAGACTCCAATTTGAAAACACCACCTCAATGTTAATATGAATTGCTTAAAATATAAATCAAATTATATGCTGCTTGATTGCTATAGGCATTAGCCTCCAAGTATTTTTGCAATTCTAAATTCGCAAGAATGGTATTTGATCCTTTTTCTTATTTACATTTCCCTTTTCCTACAGATTCTTATTGACTGCCTATTGTTTTTCATTATGTTTTGGTATAGTTGTCTGATAAGAGAAGGGTGACAATATCTGATTTTAGAGGGAAAACTTTGATATCAATTAGGGAGTATTACAAGAGAGACGGTAAAGAGCTTCCAACAGCAAAAGGTAATTGTTTCATATGGTTTCTTTCACTATAAGAAATTTCCGAATTACTTTGCATGTCACTATTGATGCTCTTTCCGTCCCAAAGATTAGGGATTTTAATCTTTTTGTTTCCAAAATGCTTGACTTCTATCATAAATCAAAATATTAGTTTTCTGGTGAATCCTTTATCACACAGGTCCTCAGTCTGATCACAAGATCTGGATATCCATGTAATTTATCGATCTTGTTTGCTGGTTTAGTACATAAATTGATTGGACCAATGATGTCATTAAATAGTGCCTGTTTGGGTGCTTCTGCTTTTTGTAAAAGAGTTTCATCATGAAGCTACATTGGGTTAGCTTGCTCTTAAAGTTCTTCTAACTAGACATAGCACTTCCTAAAATTATCCAAACAGGCATAAAAACAGTTTCTTAGTCTTAGCTTTTGGTTTTTCATAAGTTTCTCTTTCTCAAGATTGGAGAGCATCAGTAATGAGAATCTCTTTACCTGTTAATGATAATGAGATCCTTAACTACTTTGTTGGCTGAGTTTGATTCCTAAGCATCATGGTTTAGGCTCTTAATATTGACCTAATCTTATTTGAGTTTTTTCCCAATCTGATGGAGTGAAATCGAGCACGTAAGGGCCTTGGTTATGCTACATCACTCTAGTTGTTAGTTGCTGCATACATATTTTTTCTTTTTATTTTTGTTTTGCTTTAGTTGAAGCTTATTTCTTCCTCTTATTGTGCAGGAATAAGCCTGACACCCGAGCAGTGGTCATCCTTCAAGAAGAATGTACCTGCAATAGAGAAGGCTATCAAGAAAATGGAATCTTGGTGAACTGAATATGGTATTAAAGACATGTTTGTGAATCAATCCTTGGCTCTGTTTTGGGGGGTTTTGTAATTGTTCTTTTGGATCTTCTTGCCCTTCATCTGGTTTTGTGCATCAACTTTATTATGTTTATGTGTTGCAATCATTATATATAAATGATCTTCACGTTGCTCTCAATGGTATGCCTTACTGTGCCATGCCTAAATCTTTGCTTCTACTAGTTCTCTTAACATTTCTTTGGAGTCAGACTTTTTTCGTTCTTTTAGTTTGTTGGAAAAATTGGTTTTATAACTTGGTTTGACCAACTTTTGACCAATTATTTGAGTGGATTCTGGTAGTTGGAAGATTTTTTTGGCAAAGTGTGTTTTACTCTGTGAGTGATTAAATAGTATTATTTTTTCAAAGCTAATTTCGGGCGAATGAGAAATTAATGTCAAAGATGTCACGTGAAGTTAAATAAATTGTGAATAAAAAATGTTGAGAAATTGGAAAAATGTCAATCTCACGGGGAAAAATTAGAATAATATAAATCACTTTATATAACTCAAAATTGACCCTTTAGATTGCAAATTATTCTAAATTTAAATTAATGTGTTTACTAAATGACAAACGCACTAAGATTCCGAATTCTCATGCAATAATCATTTTTAATCTTAATTCTACATTTTGACAATACAATTAAATTTTGACGAATCAATATTTCTATTTTATTTAACAATTTCTCTCGAGTAATGTTAAATCTACTCTCATATATGACCTGATTATATTTCTATGATAGATGCGAATATACAAGAGTGCATGAATTTTTATGAATACCTAAAGATTCACATACAGTATAGCAGTATATTTTCATCTCCTATCTAACCCTATTACAATTTATATATATGGAACATATTTCACTTCTTTCGACCGCATGGAAAGAATAACTATGCTATAGCATAGTTCAAGTAAAATTTCAGTCTTTGCGTTTTGGTCCCCGAACTCCGTTTTCTCTTTTCTTAACCTTTTTTCTCACTTTTTCTTCTTACAATACTTCATGTCTTCGCTAAATTGGTTTTCAACTTTGTGAATCTTCGTTTTTTCTTTGGGACATCTTTTGACTATTTGCACTTTGGTATCTGAACTTTGATTTTCTTCCATTTTAGTCATTATCGCTTCTTCCTAAATTCCACAATGTCCATCAATGTTATCCTACAAAACATAATTTATATAGAATTAACTATTAAGCCATATTCCAATATTTTTGCCAACAACTATTCATGTTTTTTTGGCTTAAATAAGTGTGTAAAATGTATTTATCACAATTCCAAACTCTTTCCAAGCAATTTTTAATCCTCTTTCAATTTAGATTTCAGAGATATCAAAACATTAATAGGTTCATTAGGTCTTTTAATTTGAAGTACTACTATTACAAGTCGATGTCATTGTATCTTGGCAGACGAGTGTCGGAAGATCATTAGTGCCAATTCGAGACATTATCATTTTAAGGAGAAATAGTCAAACTCTTGCCTCAATCATGTTATTTCTATTTCATTTCCTTTCATTAAGCAACTCAAAAATCCTGTCCAATTTCTTATTTACAAAAAAATGTTATTTTTAAATATATAATTTTTCACAATAAATTTGATATATTACACGTTATTTTCCCAACATAGTTTCCATGCTCGATTAATCATGTCATCTCGAGTGTGAATTGCTGTAGCTTTATTAAAACCTACTGTGCAGCTTCAGTTCATTTTAGCATCAATTTGATCTTGATTCCTAGTTAACATCTTAAACTTGCGTTTTTTCAGAGGAGTTGTATTTTCTCGTATGTGTCTTACCACTAGAATTTTGTCACCTTGCTACAATTTTTAAAAAGTATAGAAATTTGGATATAGGAAAACGTGAATGAAAAATAGCACAGCAGGGAAATATATTGGCAAGAACTCCCAATGAGAGGTACTTGATGAATACTGTTGACAAATAAGTATATCATCGTGAATTGATTTGGATAGAATAACGTCATGTAAAAAATGAACGATATAAAATATTAATGGTCGAGACAAGAGTTTGACTCTTTCTCCTCAAAACGATAAGGCCCTGCACTAGTGTGACTGTATTCCAGCACTCATCTCCCAAGATACAACGACCTCGACTTCTAATAGTAGCACTCCAAATTACAAAACCGGCTAACCTACTCACGTTTTGATCTCTTTAAAAAATTTGAGGACTAAAATGCATGAAAATAACTTTTGAGGTTGAATTCCAAAATATGAATAATACATGGACGAATGAATAATTTTGGAAGAAGAATAAAATCAATTCTGATTTTGGAATGAATGAAAATTGGGGGTATGGGGACCTTTATATAGAAATTGAAAAGTTGTGTCCAAAAAACACAACAGTCGAAAAGTTTTGTCTTCAACATACACAAAACCATTTGGACAGACAGTTTAACTGTCAACTGCCATATTCTGGAAGAAAACACGTGTCATGCACAAAAGAATTCGGGGAAAAAAATATAAAAAAATATATTATTATTTTGAATAATAATAAAATATTATAATTCAAATATTATTTTACCAAAAAATATATATCAGCTTGACCTAAATCCAAACCAAGCCAAGCCAAGCCCATGACCAGCGACTGTGACCGTGCCGAGTCGGTCAGTCAGACGGCGGCGACGGCGCTCACGCGCGGACTTTGGCTCAACCTACTAGCACTCCTTCAAAGACTATTGGTACCCGTTAAGATCCAAACCCAAGTTCAAAACTTAAGCAATATAAATTTGTTTATATTCTTCTAGCTTTTCTATGTGGGATTGACATTTTTTCAATTTCCCACCAATTTTTATTCCAGTTTATTTCAATTTTAAGTGGTCATCCTTATACCTTAATTTCTCATTCACCTTAAACTGATTTTGAAAAAATAAATACATTACATTAATTTACTCATGTCCAACTAACGAGACTCATTAAAAGAATTGGTCAAACCAACTAATAAAATCCAATTTTTCCCAACAAATACAATGTTCCACGGTTCTATAATAACTTCTATTTTACTATCAAAATATGAAAAGTAGTGTGAGTCAACAAGCCATGGCAGCTGCTGACGCCACCATAACTCACTTGAATTCTTGAATCCTCGACCGAGTAAAGTGTTAAAGCTTAGCCAAACACTGTCTTCTCCAAGATTTTTGCCCAACATTTGATAACATGTGGTTTAATCAGAAAATCTGTATCCATATAAATTAATCAAATATCCAAAGCAACCACGTGTTCTTACAATATCCACATTGTACAAAATTGGCATGTTCTTAAAGGAACGGGGCCAACTGGGGAAAATAAGACCACACATAAACTTGAGGCTAAGAACCCATACGCCACCAATAATGACAATATAACCTCTCAAAACATTCACTGCACAACCCTATCTACCCCCAAAATTTTGAACCAACACTTCCACTCCAATGGGGTGCGCCTCCTCCAAGAGAATCGAAGCCACGGTCGACGTTTACCGTCCACCACCATCGAGCTTTGCCGTATTCAACATCAATGCAATCGAAGAGCCATGGCTCAAGATGGGCGATGAACATGACCACCAGGATGAAAAGCCCACGCGTGTGCCACCTCCCATTCTTGATAAGCTTAAGGCCATTGAAGATGCTCCTGGCACGTGGGATGAGGTTAGCAAGGCATTGGAGGACCTCAAGCCCACTTTGAACAGCCCACCCCCGCTGGCGCCGCCAACTTCCGCCATCACACTCCTCTCTAAAAGAACGAATAGTACACCACCAGCACAAGATAGCGAAGCTCCTAATGTAAAAGCACCACGTAAGAGCTTTTCCTTTCACACACTCGAAGAGCTTGAAGCTAAAGTTTCATCAAAGCCCACCGAGTTAAAAGAGACCGAGCCCATGCAGACTGAGTTGAAGAAATTCCAATTAAACAAGACCGAGTCACATACCGAATACGCTCCGACCACGGAGTCACGAGGTGGGGCGGTCTCGAACTCATTAAAAAACAACATGTTCATAGTGAGAGACAGATTAGAGAGAGAAAAAGAAGGCAAAACTTCAACCTTTGTCAAACGCGACCTATTAAGCGAGTTCGAAGAGAAGTGCCCACCAGGCGGAGCCGACTCACTGGTTCTATACACCACCTCCTTAGGCGGCGTCCGCTCCACATTCGAAAACTGCAACAGACTCAGGACTATCCTCGAAACTCACAGAGTCGTGTTCGACGAACGTGACATCTCTTTACACGGAGAGTTTCTGAACGAATTGAAAGAATTAATAGGTGAAGGAGTGAGTGTTCCGAGGCTATTTGTGAAGGGGAAATACATAGGGGGAGTTGAAGAGGTGGTGGGTTTGAACGAAACAGGTAGACTCGGGAGGATACTGAGTTGGACACGAGTGGAGAGGGGAGTGGGTAGGTTGGGTTGTGAAGGGTGTGGGGGTGCAAGATTTGTGCCATGTTTGGATTGTGGTGGAAGTTGTAAGGTTTTGGTCGGGGATAAGAAAGAGAGGTGTCCACAGTGTAATGAAAATGGTTTGGTTCATTGTCCTATGTGTATTTGATTTTGCTGTTTTGTAACAAAACTATACAGTGAAATTTTAATTTTATATATTTGAGAAGGAATTGTTATGGTGATGTACTATCAGTAGAGATATGATCGCGGGAATGCAAACAAATCGATGATGAGAAAGTCCTCTATGAACCAGAACATAATTAATGATTCATTATCAGAAGGCATGAAACTAATCTTTTCCTTGAGAAAACACAACCCAGAAAAAGGCAAGTTAGTTAATGCTTGTTTAGCTTACATGAAAACATGGCGTGTTCTTTGATTCCATATATAAGTTAATATTCCACTATCTCCATGATTACAAGAGTAACATACGTACTTGCTCTTCCTTAGCAATCCCAACAACCCTCACCTCTTATAGTTTCATGAAATCATTTGCCATATGATACAACGCACTACTTTCTATCGTGTAAAACAACAAAATAGTGCTATATTTTCTAATTGTTATTGGAAAGAAAATAATTACTTCCCTGAACACAGTAAATAAGTTGTTTGCTAGCTCGTAAAGGGGATGTAATCATCAACTATGTACTTGTATAAACTTCTCGTTAAAAAGTATATACTCTTGCCGAAAAATTACCATAGTTGTTTCTCGGATTTTTCTACATGACTACCTAGCTCTCTTCCTTATTTTCGACCTGTCGTTGCTTCTTTTTACCTGAACAAGGCTTTCAACCCAACAACAGGTGTCCCCAGAGCTTATTTTTATGGATTCAGAATGTATGTTTCTCGGCAGTGATTCCTTAAGGTGTTTGTATATGTCACTGAAAACCATTCCCCCATCACTTTCAGAATGTGGCAACCTTAGCTTGGTCCAAATATCACTGTTTTCATTATCCAGTAACTTCCATAGATCAAAATCGTGTGAGAAACAATTTCTGTAAACTGACCAACTAGTCCAACACCGACAGTAGTGACAGAACTCCACAAGTCGGTGTTGGGAATTTACTTAACATGCACAGCGGAAATTAAACAATTTTCAATTCCCAAACGAGGATCTGCAATGTGTTTAGATAGAAACTGTGATGAGAATGATACCTTTGATGAATTCCACAAACTCTTTTGCTTTTTCTTGAACTCCAATGATCACGATCTGCAATCCAAGCTGTCCAATTGTCCAGCCTCCAATGGTGATCCACACAGAGAATAAGAATGACGGCTAGGGTTTTCTTTTCTTGTGCTAGCAAGAATAATGAAATTCTCTACTGTTTTTCAAACCCTAACAGCTTATTAATATAAGTCCAGATGGGCTCGGCCCATCTATTAAACTTAACCCGGTCCAATATTTAATTAATCAAATTAATTAAATCTGGTCCATGAATTAATTAATCCAATTAATTAATTCGGGCATATTAATAAACAACCCAATTAATTAATTATCCAACACTTGTCAATTAATTAATTGGTAAATCTCATTCTTCTGATTCTCTTTTGTGTGTGACCCATTAGGTTCCCGATCACGATGCCGAACGACGTGAATTATTATTTTGATCTAATCAAAATCGATAAATTAAAACGCCCCTTTTAATTTATCACTAATTCATTTTCGTTGTCCCAGATTGACATCTAGCAATGTATCAGGGCAATACATGTGACGAGAAATATCACGTAGCATGACAAAACCAAACTTGTTCGTTTACCGTGAAACTATAATCCTTTCGTCAATATGATCCGATCAATTATGAGATATGGATATGTGTCAATCTCAATTATCGATCATATCTTTTATCCCACTGTTAAGTCAATGTACGTCGAAAACTCTTTTCCGACTTATGAGTTCACCTTGGCCAAGGATTTCATTATCAACTTAACTGGATAAAATGTAGATCATAATCTCTTACTATCTAAGAGTGACGAATCCTCTATTGATCATTCACAACCTTCATATGATTCTTGACATACCCGAACGATGCTGTATTAGCGACCCTTGACAGAGCAACATCCAACATCACCAAAGTATGACTGCCCTCATATAAGGTACTATGATGACCTCAAGTCAAAGGACCAATTCCACTACCGAACGTTAGAGATTAACCACTAACACTTAGATAGTTATCCATGTGGAATCTCTCAGCGGGTCTCCAATGTTTTGTTCTATAACAAAACATCCACGTGTTCATTCAAGTGTCACCACACTTTAGCTTGTGAGATCAGCTACTTACTTCACAAGTAAGAATGCCACACGCGATAGTCTATCCGTAATAACGATATCCGTATCTCGTTATTATCTCGACCACGGACGATTTAAGATTCAGTCATATGTAATTTGTATCTCACAATCACAACTCCTTGTGATTAACAAATCACCAAAACTTGAATCTACGGATTCTATTATATAATTTATTAGAATATTAATTCAATTAAATAATAGATATTGCCATATATATGCATTGATTATATATATTCAAAGTGTTTATGTCCAAAATTGATTGGACCTAGGGCATAACACTTACAGTCGGGGCATCTTGAAACCCTCTGGCAATGACACTGATCGTAACGCCTTGGTTCTAAGACAGAGAACCAGAAGTGAAAAGGTAGAATTTGGTTGCTTTTCCTGCACAAGCCACTTCATAGAACCATCGGCAAAACTAGGCCTACTCACCCGAAAAATACTGATTAGCGGAATATTTTCAATCTTTTTCCAAGTATCCAATTTCAGGCTATAAACTTTAACTTCATATTCACCATTATAGTTATCCAAAACAAATCTCACAACCTGGTGGTCATCCGTAACATTGTCATATCCGAATCCATAACTAAACGTATAATGTCTGTATTTCCTGCCCTCTAAGGCCTCAATCTCAACAAGGGTGAATGGTAGTATCCTGTGACTACCTATAGACGGATTCCACAAAACAATTTTTTCCCTGCAACTTTTCTGTAAGGTATATCGTAGACAAATTAGGAATCCGGAAGAGCCTATAATACTCACACGGTCATTAGGATGCTGAACAGGAGGCTTTATCTCTTGAACATCTGCAATTTCAAATCCAAAATCAAAGCTTATGACATAGAATATAAAACCGACAGGTACTAGACGATTATTCTCTTTACGATGATATTTTCCAACAGCAAGCATCTTGCGAGATTTGNGGCGTGCGACGGACTTCTAATTCTAATAGAATAGAAGGAGAACGAACTCTTGCGTTTCTCAAATTAAAAAAAAATTTTGCCACCTCAAATATCTAAGCACAGTTTGAATACAATTTGTAAATTGAACTATAAATTCAGTGATATGGAATTTCGCCATCTATAGGATAATCATAAATTATATTCTATCTAGTCGATCTTATCATAAAGAAATCCAATCAAGCAACTCGAACAACACGGCCGTCCTATAGGGAGTCCGTTGCAATATTGACACAAGGAAAACGTGTTACTTTGCTTATGAATTGACCAAATGAGACCATGAATTTTTATTTAAATAAAAACCCCCTCACACTCAATATTTTTAAAGTAATGGATTTTAGTTTTGAATAATTACCAATTATTCACATTAATCATATTAACATACAGGTCAATTATTAGGATTTTTCCATCTAGAAAAATTTAATCTAAATTAAATTAATTAAGGAAAAATTGGAGTTTACTGATATGCATCATGAATGTATCACGAACGGTATCACGAATAAATCTATATGTCATGATATCTAGAATGATAATATTTCAAACAAGAATTTAAAGCATTCATAAGCGATAAATTAACAATTATTTGTGGCCCAAAAACGACTCAAGAATTACATTTAAAAAAAAAAACTAATTGGACCCATGTCCAGTATTTAATCGAAATCTTCAGTCCAAAAAAATAAAACTATAAGAATCCAACAGCAACAATCTAAATAGCAATAGGACTCCGCTATCGTACTTGAAAAAAATTAATTAATTTCGAATTCGATTTATCCAGATCCGACCTGATTCGCAAAAGAACCCAGATCAAAAGTCAACTTGAATTCAACTGCTGCCACGCAAGCAGTCTGTTAGGCAAAATTCTGCCACATAGGGAGTCGGCTTACACAAACAGAGTCTTGCCACGCATGCAAATTTTTTTTTTTTTACTATAATTTTTTGATCATTTTCGTCATGTCTTCTAAGTTTCCGATCTTCAATCAATTTTTAGGATTCGACAATTACATGAATTACATAATTCATATGTCTCGTAGGCTTAGGGTTAGATAAAACTCCCGAACCGAACTGGACTGAACAGGACCCGAACCAAACTGAACCGAATCGAGCGGTTCTTTTTAAGTTAAATACCCGAATGAGTATTTGAATTGAGAATCGACGGGTTTGGTTCGATTCTCGATTCTAGACCAAGAATCGAAGAACCGAATCTCTCTAATGTTTTTAATTTTTAATTTTAAATAAGTCAAATTTTATTTTATTTTTAAATGAATTTGTTAACTAATTAATTTAACTCAAACGTAAAATATGATTTTACTATTTTTAATTTTCAACCAGCCCAACTTAATCAAATTGACCCAAATTTTACCAAAATCTCTTATTCTACCGTAGCGTCATTTCTACCTATTATGAACTGACTATCTTCCTCTTCTTGTAATTTTAACAGTCAAATTTATGAAAAACTCAACAAAGAGATGTGCAAAATATATCATCAGATTGGACTATATTATTTTGTAAGAGTTAATGTTGAACATGTCATAGTCGAACTAATATAGCGTTGTAAATATAAAAAAATTAATTATCGTACGAAACTCGAGAACCGAATAGAACCGAACAGAGCTGAACCAAATGGAATCGAACCCCAAATAGTTCCATAATTAAATTTGGACCCTGACGGTTCCACTTACTAAATATTCGAAAATTTTGGTTCGGTTCTTTTCAGAATCGAATCGAACCGGACCATGTCCAGCCCTACAGGCTCACAAATTTGAATCTAATTGAATGAAAAATTAAATCAAGATGATAGAGTCGTAATCCTTATATCTATTACAAACTCGAAATAACGAATTATATCAAGAACTGGCCTCAAATAATTGGATCACGGTTTAAAATGATTCAATCATCACATAATAAAATATTCCTAGACATCACTCGACTAGAACATGCAATCAAGATTCATAAATATCAAACACGGAACGGTCTAGATCGCGCCTCTAATACTAGTTGTTGGAATACAGAAGCAGAATTATCCAGAAATTAAAAAATTTCTTTAATTCAATAAAGAAGATCATCTAAATGTTCACGTGACTGTTATATAAAGAATAAAGGATTCGATTTTTTTTTTAACTAAATTCGATGATTAATTCTTGAATTAATTCCGAATCACAAACTTCTAGATTTTTTGAATCACGAACTTCTAGCTTTTAATTTCAAGAATTTGATGATTCAATCCTCCAAGTCTTTTATGGTATTCTCCAAAGTTGAGACTACACGGGTGAGTGGGCGCCTTCTTTTAATTAAATTAAAAAAACTAATTATTGGATTGGACATTAAGAAAATATGATTTTCTCACTTTTTTCTCTCTTCAAATTTGAACACTATAGAATTATGTATTATAATTGTTGTAAGATTTTTATATCCATATAATCTCTATTTATAGAAATAAAGATGTTACAATCCATGTTGAATAATAATTCTAATATCAAATATGAGTTTTAATTAAAATCCAAGTATGAGTTTTAATTAAGATTCAAATCCAATTAGTTTACATTTAATTATATGTGTAGTCCTAGAACTTTACAATTATAATTAAGTTTACAACTTTATAGTAATTACAAGTAAGTACATAACTTTATTGTAATTACAATTAAGTCCAACACTATTATAATTACCGTAATTAAGTTCAAATGCTTTATAAAGCTACCACAGGGACCTGATCAGACATATATTATCCAAGCTCAAATAATTAGATCATGTCTAGACGACCTAATTTAATTATTAGTCTTTTTTTTTTTTACTAAAGGCTAAAGACTGAACTCTCGGAATATATAAGATCACAGAAGCTAATAAATCTGTAACACTTTCATCTGACCCGTCGTTTATATATTTTATCCCCGTTTGATATTCGATAATTAGGTACGAGCATAAATGACCGTTTTGCCACTCTAATTATTCTCACTAACTTAAGTACTATTTTTCTCAACAATCCTGTAAACAAATCACAGTTATCAAAATTTAGCCGTCGATAAAAACTAAACTTGGATTTTAACCATTCAACAGAAAATACTTAAATAGTTGCCCCATTTTTTAGGGCAACTATTCTTGACACGAATTCATATTTTCTACTTCGCTCTTTCTCAAGTTCCCAACTTATCGAGATATTTGACCAATCAAATTGATCTCACTCATTGATGAATCAAAGAACTATTTAAATCACGAAAAGATATACATAACTCTGCCAAGTGATTTAGATGAATACACAGCAGTCAAGTGAAATTTAATTCTTCCCACGATCATGCTATAGAATTAAACTAGACACATGGTCCGTTCAATATACTTAAAGTGTACTAGTGTAACATTTAACTATTTCTGTGATAAGAACAAATCACATATCTGAATAATGAATCGGACAACACTGCAACATTCTGATACAAGGTGCCAACCCTTATACATTGACAATGAACAAATTATTTATGATCAAAATATAAGTTATGTCATAATGTACTTCTCAACGCAAGTACCCAACTTTTATCATCACAAGTGATTATATGCACTTTAATTCGCATACTCAATAATAAATAAAATAAAAAATAATTTTAATATAAGAATATTATTTTTTTACGTCAGCAAAACTGTATTATATGGGCACACAACCCAACATGCATGACTTCCTTGACATCCTAATCTTGCTTGGATTCTATCTACACCTCAACCAAGGAAACTCAACTTGAACACACACACACACATATAGGGCTTGTCTGGGCACAATTTTTGAGTGAAAAATCAATTTTCATGTATATATATATATATATAATGCACCACCATTGTGATACTTTATTTTAGGTGCACGAAAGCTCTACTCCCAGTCATTCTCGGTCTCGTGCAGCTACTGGTAAGTTTTTTTACTGAACCTTGAACTAAGATATCAAAAAATTAAGATAACCCAGTAAATACTAATTTCAATTATGCTAAAATTCTACAACGCACTAGTTAACAGCTGAAATATCACGTTAACATATAGTAGACCCGCTGGAGTTTTAGTTTTCCCACGAACAAATGTGTAATAATCTCCTTTACCGAAGTAGCCACCACCTACACCCTACAACTACGCGTCACTCTAAAAATACCATCAGCCGCTTCTTCGCTCATTATCAAACAAATATTTTCCTTTGCACGACACGTTTCTCTTCAACAGCTCTATAAAAATACACATTACACACAATTCTAATTAATTTCTGAAAACTTTTGTGCATTCACCGGAAAATGATGCAGGTATGAGAATAACACCTAAGTCAGGTAAGGCGAGCAATTTACACGCTACAAAAGAGCGAAAGGATCGCAGAAAAAAAAAACTCGAAACTCAAAGGTTGAGGTCATTTAGATTGGCGTCCAAGTTCAAACGTTGCTCGGAGTCGCAATCGTCCACCTCAGCTTCATCAGATAGTGTAAAATATCAAACTAAAATGGAGGTAACAATGAAACAGTACTTAACAAAAGCCGATGAAGAAGATGATTTCATTGAAACAATTCACTGTTATTCTTGCACAGCATTGTGCGATATATATACATCTAGTGAGAAGGATCTAGAAGAGGAAATTCTATGATATATTCCATACGAAAAAATAAAATAAAATGGCTATACAAACAGACTACAAAATTGTAAATGTGCTAACAGAAAAATGGTTCCCCTTTCCTCTATTAACATAATCATATCCTCTGTCATCATTCATGCCTTCATTCTCCATGTGATATTTTTCATGTTGATCCTTCAAAAGTTGAGCTTGGTATTTTAACATCCCCCCGCAAGATGAAGAGTGCATGTTGTAAACTCCCATCTTGTCCATATATTGATAAAATTGAAATGAACTTAAGGCTTTCGTTAAAATGTTAGCAATTTAGGACTTACTACTAAGATGCTTAGCAATCACACTTCCTTCTTGAATCTTATCACGTACTAGG